CAGATACAAAGAAGAATGACTGCCACATATCCGTTTACGTAAAACAGTGTCTAAAATTAATAGACGAAAAATCAATATTGCGGGCTGAACAATGGACTGCTGTCGGAGCCTATATGTTTCATTTGACAGTTACAATTGAGTTAAGCTAATAATAACCAAGCGGTAAATCCAAATGTCATGTTCCATCACTGATAAAATGATCAGATAAAAAAAGAAATATCTTATTGCAATGCGATCAGATTAGCTTATTGAACATACCTCTCACTTCAAGCATTGCTTTTGCTAGGTGAGACGAAAATGTAAACCTATCTTCAAGGGGGGGAATGAAAATAAAAAGAAAGAAAAGAAACAGATATTCATTGACATGCAAAGGCAGTATAGTCTGCCATAACTATACAAGCCTCGGATTAATATAAATTAAGATTGATCCGATCGCCTGTTAACAACCTTTCCAATTTCCTCCACGGCTACCAGTATTGTGACATAAAACACGTGCAAATTTGCATTGCTCCTGGCAGTCATCACCTAGACCACCTTTTGCATTAACAAAAAAAAAACCTGAGCGGAAATGTTTGTCTCATCTAAACCAGGTGAGAAGTTTTACCACCTAAATCAGACATGAGCCTAGGTTTAGGGAAAAAAAAAAAAAAAAAAAAAAAAAAAAAAAAAAAAAAAAACTCTGAACATTTATTATGGGACCCAACACCTAACTTTGATGAATCTCCGGATTCATCAGAATTGAATTTAAAAAACATGGAATTCTGCCTTTTCAAGGAAAAAGCTCAAGTATGCTAAACTGACTGTCATATATAATATTAGGGACTGAACTGCAATCAGGTTCTTGTTTCCAAATTGCATAACTCATAATGGCAACAATCACACACTGAGATAGTCAACAGGACTTTTTGAAGGCTTATCACTTGTGAAATCCTCTCAAACCAACATTGCACACAATGCTGATGATTTCAATCTTGCGGCTAAACCTTGCTGTCTAAGCTTATGTATAAGCCTAAAAATGAAGAGATGTGTGTTGAGAAAGAATGCTAAATTCAAATTAAGAGCATGCAAATACCATATCAGTTGTTACTGCCTCAAATATATTTTACTTAACAAGGTAGGAACATTGCACACCAGTCTGAAGATGCTATTTGTAAAATATCAATAATATAACACTTATAAGGTTCATTCCCAATGAAAGTATCATTCTACATAGATTGATCCCATTCTGTGGGGACACTTGCTGAATGCAATCAGATGTACAAATTAACATGCATCCTCCTTGGTGTTGGAAACAAGAGGTGTGTTAATCTGCTAGTCTGATTGCATTCAGCAAGAGTCCCCACAGAACTAGATAGATCTACATAGAAGGATAGTTCCTCTAGACTACACTGGTCAAGCTTTTCCCCCTAAATTTCAGCAACTTATCCTTCTATAATTTGATCAATAAATGTGCAATTTGAAAAAATCAATTATTTGATGAAGTTTACCTTATCAGCAAAAGTCAATCAGTTAATTATTTGATGAAGAAGGCCTTATCAGGAAAAAAAAATGCATTTTTTTCTTTACATTTTGCACCACAGGTACAATACTGTTTTTATTTGTAGCTGCTTGTAAACACATTTTACTTCTACGTCTCAAATGGCACATTAGTGTTTTCCAGCATATCCTTACAATAACATTTGGAGTGGCTTCAAAATATTTCACACTTGACTGACAAAAAACTATGTGCACAGTTGCAGAACAAAGCCTCACATAATCCACCCAAGACTAAAAATAGAACATTCCTGGTGAAAATAGTACCCTAATTACTTTGAGGCAGAACCAGGCAGGGACCTTGTAAAATGCCTCGCAAGAAGCCTTCTTTCTTCCTGCATTTTTAACGAAAGGATCAAACGATTTAGCTGGAAGGAAATATTATATCAGGGGCAGGTTTGGGAGCGTAAATAACATGTTGGTACCGTCTGCTGAGTCAAAGGTGACAGATGGCAAAGCCACTGTGGTAACATGCCTCGAACGTTAACAGTGCTGTAGCAGACATGTCTGTTTATATGACATTTTGAAACCCACCAGTCTTAAGTTCTTCCTATCTGGAGATTAACCTATGGTTCATAGTGTTCCGTCTCTTACAAGTGCTCCTATATGCAATACATTGGTGTTTTCTGGAAACATCCACAGCTGGGCCCCCTTGGATTCCAACTGGTGGCCCCAAACCTCATTTCCATCAAAGATATGATTTCACCTGCAATGACTGGGGAGAACATGTCGTTGTTTTATGTGCATAATTGATCTGAAATATCTTAACCAAATTGTCTTTTTTTCCACATATTTCTAACACATTTTTGAGAAGTCATTAGGTTTACAAAACATGTATTTTCTCAAAAAGCTGTATCTGTTTTCAGCAAAAGCCAAATATTTCTTGAACTACTGCCTTTGAGTCACAAATGCAAAACAGAAATTTGGTTTTCAAATGAAAAATAACAGGTGCTTTAGTCCCTTGTATGCCCCCCCCCCCTTTCCACCAACCTTACTTGGGGCCTGGGTTTCTATTAGGAAAATCTAAAAGGTTGACCAAAAGGGTAACAGAGAAAAAATCTTCCTTGCAGTTTCAGGACTAAATGTCATTGCTAACCTTTGGTCTTAACAGGGCCTCTTTTCAATTTGGCTCATAGAGCAATGAGAGATGAAAAAAAAAAACTGGAATCTTTCCTCTAATTGCAAAATGCTCAGGAGACTATAGACGGCCTTGAAAGCAAAAATCACCAATTATTGAATTGTTCTGACATCAGTGAGAACCACACAGGAATTAAGTGATACTGAAGTACTTAAAACCAGAGGAGCTTTGATTGCCTTCATTAAGCCAGGAAGTTCCAGCTGAGATATAAAGGTATGCCAGAAACACAGAGAAACAGGCAATAATTACAGTCTACTATAATAGACTAAGAACTGGAATTTATCATTGTATTCTGCCCCTTAGGTTTAATATTTAGTGATACTGAACTGGTTTCAATCAGCCCCCCCCCCTCCCCCCCCCACTCCTCCTCTACATAAGTTAATTAGCTCACTCCTCCTCTTCATAAGTAAATTAGCTAAGAGAGATGTTTTACATTAGAAATTACACAAAGTGCACCTCAATTACACAAATTACACAAACGCAGGACTCAAGCACAGTACAGTAAAAACAATGATATATGTATAAGCCTTTAATTCTTACCCTTACAAAATTCAAGGAATCTTATGCATCATTTTCATTCCTTTTTTCCCAACATTTTCTTTAATTACTTAAACACATGGGTCTCAGTCCTGATGTGATACATCTTCGGTGGCTGCATATGCTTCTTTAGCCATCCTGTCCTGGGCCCCATCATTCGAAAGAATCGCATATTGCGAATAGCGATATCACAAAGAGGCTACAGTGTATTATATGGGGCGAGTATGGCTAGTTATGGAATCGAAGCGCTTGCGCTCTGTTGCAATGCGCGATGCTTTCAAGTAAAGAGGCCCTGCTTGGCATCCTTGGGTGTTATACGGTAATGACTCAGTCTTTTCAATGGCAGAAAAATTATCAATCTTCAGATACATGTCATCATTAGAATATATGTTTTTGTGTACCATATGTGGTGTTTTTACTGTACAGAATAGAAAAACAAGGTGCCCTGCATTTCAGTTTTGTATCTATCACTCAATAGTAATGTTCTAATATCAAAAATATAAAACTTAAAAATTATAGTATCTGTAAAATTCAGACTTTTCCCCTACTGAAAAGATCGAATAACTACCATAGTTACATAAACAATGGAAAGCCTACATTTGTAGCTTAAATTTTGTCAACTTGGAAAAATTGTGTGGATAACAGTGGGCTGTAGCTCTTGACGAGTGACAAGTTAATTTGGAGAAATACTTCTGAAATAAAAAAAAATGCTACTGTACAATTTGTTAACACAGTGGATTCAGTTTGTATATAAACAAATCACTTGAAGCTAAAATTAGTGAGCTCACTGACTTGGGATCACACCTTAAATCCCTTTTTGGATAATTTTTTCACATTTAAGAAAAAAACTTAACACGCTAGTTAGTCAGGAAATGAAAGAAACAAATTTCAACAGGAAGTCATAGCTTGAAAGTTACTCACCAAAGACATAATATTTCATGAATTTGCTACTAATCTGTTACCTGATGGTGTTATGTATTATAAAGCCTGTGTTTATATCATTTGCTGCAAATCTACATCTGTCATTTTATGCCCATTGTTATATATACTGCTAAACATGCTTTTTATCTATGAAAGAAAATGGGATTTTCTTCTTTGTTGACATTTTTAAACAGTTTTATCCAGTTGTGCCAACATATAGTGCTCTTTGCTGTTACCAATGTGGTTCCATCAATTTGCTTACAATATTGTTTCTTCCACTGTTGTCAACTCAGTTTCATTCATTATAGACAATGTGGCTTTGTCTGTTGCCAAAATGGTTCCATGACTATCCATTGTTGCCAACATGGTTCCATCCGTTGTGGCAAAGTGGAACTATCCATTTCTATGATGGATCTATCCATTGCAACATGGTTCCATCTAGTGTTGCCAATGTGGTTCCATCCATTGCCAATATGGTTCTAATTGTTGTTGCCAATGTGATACGTCCATTGTTGGCAATATTGCAACATCCATTGTTGCCATTTTGATTATATCCATATATATCATAACATTAATGAGGTGCTATCAGGTCAATTAAATTCCAGCTCTCTTTTCCAATGATATATTTACTATAAATTGTAGCTGATGTGGTTTTATCTATTACTGATGTGGTTTTTTTCAGGCAAGTCCAAATTCGATTTTGTTTTTAGGTTTTCAGTTGCATTTTTCAAAGACAACTCAAACATGGACATCAAGTAAGATCTCTGAACATCTCAATTCTTACTTCAGACTTATAATCATTAAGGAAAGCTTCAGCCATATAGTGCAAAACTGAATAATTATACCATTCTTTTAAAATTTATCATTACAGAGTAACAAGAAGATCTACATGGGGAGGTGACAGTTTCATTGGAAAAGAAGTGGACAGATGCTGTGAAAAAGGTAAATTCCAATTCATGTTTTCATCTATGGGAAATCAGGGCCTCTTTCACAGAATTACTGAAGCTGATCTGAGGTCTGAGCAAAGACTGCTACGAATTTAAGTTGGTTAAATTTCACTAGTATATTGTTCCGTAAGTCTCAGAGATAAGATTCAAATTTGTATAGTGGGCTATCCTATTTCAGTAGTCTCAGATAAGCAAAAAAAAAAAAAAAAAAACTGTGTTTATGCTAACAAGTCCAAACTGCCCACTCAAAACTACATTTAAAGGTCGATTTTTTTTTAATAACTAAAGAGCTGGTGCATTTTACCATAAGATCAAAAATTTCAATCTAAAATTTTCTATCTTTCAATTCTGACTGAAAAAATTTCTCTAGTAGTTAATTTTAATGCCATAAATAATGACTTTGAGAATTCTGAAAGAAACAAACGACATGAAATATAACTATGAGAGGGCATCTTTCCCCTTTATTTCATAAATTCCATGCCCAACTTATTGAGAACAAAGAATATATTGTATGTGGGAGAGCTGTGTGGGAACCCCCACTGTATGTAGAGATATACACAAAAATGCCACAATACATCAGAGCAAACAATATTGTGGGGGTTGGTGAGAGAAGGTAAGAGATTTTCGCATTTCAGACTAGTTAAAACTGGAGTGTAGCAATGACAAATGGCAATATATCTTCCAGTCAATTACCAGATCAATCCAAACCGACAAGAAATGAATTTATTCCATCACTGACAGGCAAAGCATTAATCTTGTTTAATAATAATAATAATAATAATAATAATAATAATAATAATAATAATAAACCAATCTCAACAAAGGTGTACAGAGGCATAAATGGAAACAAAAATAACAGTATGTCCTTTTGCAACATTAACAGAATCTGCAAACAACAGAAAAAAACCTTGGTAGTTACTACTCCAATATTTCTGTCTTACACTTCTTGCAATCTTTGTCAGGGGATGATGTTATAAACCAACATTAAGTTCTTCTTAGAAGAATAAATCAAAGTAAATTTGCGTGCCCAACACAGTTGGTGGCATTCTTTGCTGGACAAAATATTTTGGTCTGTCAATGGTATATATTTTTGGTAGCCAAAAAATCACTGTTCTCAATCTCAGCTATTCATTATATTGCAATAAAACCTTTGCAGGAGGATGGGCAGGATGACCTTCCCAAGCCCCAAAAAAGCTTAAATTGTATGGAAAAAAAATGTGATCACTGTTCTCATCTTGGCTATAATTGAAGATCCTTGGGGTGGATATAATAGGGCTTTAAAAAGCTAAATATAAAAATATAACAGAAAAAAACTTTGAAACCTTGCCAAAATTTCATGAGGCACATTCCTAACTGACGATAAAACATTGTGGAAGTCAAGTCGTTAGTCAATCAGCTTAGTTTCTCTAATAGAAAAAGAAACTACCTACTCATACTACCATGTGGTTTCTGCAATTGGATTCTTTTGCTTCCAATGTGGCTCAACCAACTGGCACGCAACATTTTCAACATGTGTTTCAATTACCCACACACTAAAAAATTGCGTTGCAGAAGAATAAAAAAAAAGTTTCTACACAGTTAATGGCAGGTCACTTTTTCTGTGACCTGGGTCGTACAAAACCTGTTCCTCCCCACCCCTGCCCCTCTCTTTCATAACTTGTTGATAACTTCCACTCCAATATCTCGACTTTCACAACAAAGCCTGTCATTTGGAAGTTGGCACTAGTAACTTCCTGTAGAACTCGGGATCAATCCAGTTTTGCAGCATCCCGCCTCTCGTGTACTTCGGGGTATTTATTTTCCTTGCATCTCATATTTGCAGAGCCGTAAGTTATTTCTTTTTGAATCACTCTTCCTTGGTAGGGCCTAAGGTTATTTCTTTTCAAAGCACATTGTGTTTATAAAATACTGCATAAGCTAGCGAGGTCATCGGTGATGAAACTAGTGCCGACCCAGGGTCAGAAACTGGGCTAGGCCCGTTTATGGGAGGCTGCGTTCACAACTAGCCTAACTTGATGTAAGAGAGGCCATGCTCACAAATATCCTAAATTTAATAAGAGAAGCTTCGTTCACAATTTATCTTATTACTAAGCACATGTGAAAGGGCGTGTTTACAAGTAGTTAAAAATGACCATGAGATTAATAAGAGCCCAATTTCTCTATCATAAAATTAATAAAATAACTTTTACAGCACATCTGTAAATAATCTTTATTAATATTATTATGCTTTTTTTTACATAAATTCCTTTTCCTTCGCTCTCTCTCTCTCTCTCTCTCTCTCTCAAGCACACACCCATGCAACCTCATCCTGCAAAAAAAGTTTATTTGAATAATAGCATCTGAATATCCCAACCAAATACCCTAGCTTCCAAGGATTTTGCCGTTTCATTTTCCAAACATCCCAACATGCAAATATGCACTTCCTCAATCCAAATACAAGTTTAAAAAGGTTCAAGACCTTCTTCTGATCCACCTGTCTACCTATGAAAAAAAAACTCATCATCGCTTAGAAAATAGCTCTCTCCCCCCTCCTATCAAAAATTGATTTATTTCTGTTCATTTGCCGCACATGCTGACTTCATCTCTTCCTGACCTCCAAACTGGCACTTCCTTGATCTTCAAATAGTTTCCAGAATATATTTATACATCAATCCTGATATTTCTGACCTGCTGCTATAGCTTCAGGCTGGTCTAACAGGTATTAATTAGTAGTGTCAGCCATGTTTGTCTGTCTGAATAGCGGAGTAAACCATTATCTAACACGAGTCTGATATCCATTAATCAAAGCTTTACACCACTTCGTACAAGGTGGGATCTAATCATTAACTCATTCTAGGCTCTTTTACCTTTACAGAATATTATCTAATATTCCCTGTCTGGGAGGGTTTTCTACAAGATGTTACAAATAGAAAACTGACTATTTGTAGACCAATCTTATAAAAGTGTTGGGCATTTACTATATATCTATTGTACCATTTTATGCCACTGAAAATCCTCTACATCATCAATTCTGTCTTTGCATATGTCGATCTTTAGAAGCACCTTTTATGTTAATGGCTTTATTTATTTTTTTCTTAAAACAAATCATGCAAAAATACAGTTATGAAGATGTCCTGATAACTGACAGACTTTTTGCTATATTTTAAAGTGATTTGTATTTGAGGCCTTATTTACTTCTACCACTGTGCATTTATAACCAATGTCAATATCATTACACAATTATATCTTCACTTGCAAGTAAATGATGCAACTTTTTCTTCTGGTTAATTTTTTTTTTCTTTTAACATTACATCATCATGGCATTCACATCTGCCCAATGCATCCATCCTAACTCCTATGTACTGGTAGCAAAATATGTTCCAAATGTGATCACATTGAACACTTAATGACAAACTAAAGCCTTTTATTTTGCTTTCATTCTAAGAAGAAAAAGACAACAGTAGCTGTCTTAAGTAGAATCAGATTTTGTACTTTCTCAAAGTTGCATAACGGAATAAGTCCAGATCATCTTATTATTCAACAGTAGCTTAGCAACTCGGACAAATGTGTAACATAAATAGAGTGAAATCAGTCTGTTGGATTTGACATTAATAGCTTAACTAGCCTGGTTTGATTGCATTTTTAAGCCATAGACACCTCTGATGCCAAGCCCTTAGTTAAAGTATTTGACTTTGGATAGATTTCATATATATATTTTCAGGTTATTTCTTAAGCACGAACTGGATACTTGGACTTAAATCAGAAGTCCAGAAAAACCTTTATACAAATGAGTTTTGCTGCACAAAAAAATACTTTCAACAGGAAATCATTAAATGTAGAATTACTTGTGCATGATTAATTTTGAAACCCTGCCAATGTTGTGACAAATGTGCCACTTCAAAATATTAATTTGTTCAATAAATCAAGAAAACACATTTTTCTAACAAGGATTCATGTGTTTGGCATGACTGCTACTGCATAAAACAAAGAATGAACAATAAATTCCCAACAGGTATTCACACTACGTGATAGCTATGATGTTTGAATGTGTGTGTGTGTGTGTGTGTGTGTGTGTGTGTGTGTGCATGTGTGTGTATGTGTGAATTGCCTGTATAGTCCACCTTTTTTTAAAATTTACACCAAATCAACTCCTAAAAAGGACTACTTTTTTTACACTGTTGACTTTTTTTTTCAACTTTCCAATATATCACATAACACAGTCATAAAGACCTTACAAAATGCTTGTTGGAATGCTTTGTTTATGGCAACCAAATAGTATACAGTAACTAAATCAACAGTCATTACACCTAGAATTTGAAACATCTAAAAGAAATAGAAGACTGCAGTTTCTTCATAAAAAACTAACTTTGTCTTACTTAAATTCATCACTGACAGACGATTTCAATATCTAACTCTAGAATCTTATTACACAGCATCAGTATAAATCATCCACTCTGTAAATGATAGGGCAATTTCTCATGTTTCCATCAACTCACATATTGCAATATTTCACCCTGTCGAGATTTATCAAAATGATTTTAATCACTCACGAAACAAGGCCTTCTGGCAGGAGCCCAAATAATTTCCTTTTCTTTGACATTTAAATCATCTGTTTTACATTTACTAACAAAACATTGTTCTATAATGCATACAATGAATCAATTTTGTTTAAATTAAGTAAGAAATTACAGTACTTCATTCTTCTTATATTTATTTCTTCACCCCTGCCACCCAAAACATGAAGTTATGTCTTTCATTCGATATATTCAATGTTTTGCATTTTTCCACGATTCAAAGTTATACATTTAATTTTTCTTCTCCCCAGGTTACGATTGCTGTGAACGGCTTATGCCTGCCTGCTGCCTGTTTGACCTTCAGTGCTGCTACGACAGCATCGACAGGTTGAAGGATTGTTGCATGGCTGGCACCCCTAAGAGCGAAAAATGCTGTCGTCAGCTGATTTTCCTCCACGATACATGCTACGGACATGAAACAGGAGGGCGTAAAATGCACTGCTGGATCTACATGAGCCGAACGTGTGCGAAAAACAAAATGTTACAGGAGAACTTGGTCTGCAACAAGCGCTACACATGGGATGTTGTGCAGTGAATGGAATAGCCATTTGCTTGAAATAAACACAAGCATATCACCTAAAAAAAAAATTCAGAATGGATCAACTGAATCCTACTGGCTGTCTCGATCCATCTTTACAGTTTGGACAATGTTGAATGTTCATTTTAGACTTAAATCACTCTGCAAACTATGTGGGTTTTTTCCATCATTGCCTACCATTATTAGCAATGCATGTCATATTTCAAAGACTTTTCTTTCATAGATTGCGTCACAGAAACAGCAATGCATTATGGGAAATTGGAACATCCCACATCAGTGCTCGATCCAACTTTCACAGACTTTCGTGTCTGCTTGCATACTAAGAACTGAACTCTACTGAACTTGGCGAACCTCAAGCTATTAATATGACAATATACAATATCTGGGTATTCTTCAATACTTGGCTGTACTCACAATGAGTGAAATTATATGGTTCTTAGAGCTTAATTTATGTCATCAATGGTTGGTAATTATCAGCCACTTGCCATGCTAGCACTATGCCAGAGAAAGTAAAAATTCACAGACTATATATATTTTTCTTATCCAACTGATCAGTTGTTGATTGGTGGACAAATGTGTTAACTTGGCATCCGAAGTGTTGTGGATTTTTTTTAAAATCTTTTACTTGATTTCTACTTCGTTTATTCATCTACTTTTTAAAATCCATCTCCTTTTTACAGGGGCTACCTATACTGTACAGATGCATGTAAAAGATATGTTATTTTTTCTTTTTGAAAACATTTTAAAGGAAATATATCATAAACATGTGGACATAGGCTTTAATTTTGCAAAAATCACCCACCTTCGGGGAGATGTTTACAGATCATATCATTTACTTATATTAATTCTACAGTCAACACGCATTTATTCTCAGCAATTTGATAAATGTATTTCTTTCTTAATATTGACTCATGAACTGCAAAAACTTTTAAGGTACTTGGATTCTTATTAGGAAATATCTATCAACATATTTCAAAATCCTACCATTTTTCAGGTATTGAAAAATACTGGACAATTGCCATCAATATGAAAAGTATTTATTACATATTCTAAAAACAAAAGGTATACACTTATCTAATATAAGGAACATATAACACACTGACAATATATAGCCATCAATCTTATAAAGCCATTTATGCTGGCTTTATGTTTCCCATAAAATCTTACAGCTTGGGGACTATTTTACAAAAAGTTAGTTTTTTGTGCTTAGCTTAGACTGCTACCATCAGATAGCTAACTACTTAAAGTTAACTTTGCCATATAATCAGAGCATCTTACAAACAACTGGCCTTTATGTGTAGTTGAAATGCCTCAATGCAACTGAGACAGCTAAATCTTAAGCAGTCTTTCACCTTTAGTTGTATTGTGAAATTAACCCCCTCCCCACCCAAGTCCTCTCATCTCTAACGCACAAATCTACAGAAAGAAAATAAATTTCCACAGAATAATTTCTTCTAATATTTATCCAGAAATATAAAAGATAAACAGCTATAGACTTACAGACAGAGGGGCCATTCACACTAGCTCGTGTACATTAACTCTAGGGGGACACTAGCTGAATGCAACTAGCTACTTTTGGCCTTAACTAGAATTTAGAGAAGCTGGTGATTTTATGAGTATGTAAGTCTGTTAATCTGATTGCATTCAGCAAGAGTCCCCGTGGAGTTACTGCGCACTAGTTAGTGCACACTCACCCATTCAAACGGCCCCTGAGAGTAGCTTTACATAAAAAGAAAACCAAGTATAACTTACTGATTGATTAGACAATTAAGTAAGAGATCGGTTATGAATCTTGCTTTTAGAGGAAGCCAATCTCCTTTTTATCTGACACTGACAAATGGCATCCTTTTAGTTGGTAATGTTGGGTTTTTTTATATTAGAACACAGTATTTTATCAAATTCTTGAATTCAATCTGCAAAGGCAAGCCGAGGCAAATAATGGGAATCGATAGTTTAAAATGATGCATGTTCTTTGTAATATATTACAACATTTCATTCTTATTTGCAATGAATGCATCAATTCTAGAAGTCTGTAAGTATACTAATTATACGAATGATACATTATGTTTAAAATATTTTTCTTGAATTCATATTCAGGAGCTTGTAGTATTTAACTTAGATTTTTCTTGAAAACAATTTATTTGTAAATATGGAAAAATATATTTTTGTGAAATAAATATAACTGTAAATCAAAAATACCCAAATGTGTTTGATTCACATTTTTAAATTTTTTTTTAAATATTTAAACCAGAAATATAAAACATGTAAAAATTAATTTAAATAAATTGAACTCTCCTTCTCTCTCGATCTGAACTATGGAATTTCAACCCCCCCCCCCCCCCAACAAAAGCCCAAAAATTCAAAATCCAGTGGGGAAAACCTGTTCATTACATGATTATGAATGAGTTACAGACAAAACCATCCTTGTTCCTTTTAATTAATTACCACATCACGTAAAGTTAACTTTGGAAAACATGACTAATTTAATCAAACCCAGTGGTCTATCCATTTTATTTAGTCTGATATCATTTCAAAAAGACCAGATTATTGGCCAATAATTTTACATGATCGAAAGGAGCCAACCTACCTGTCTGACATCGAGTTTATTTTTGGCAATGTAACAAAATTCTAAACGGTAAAGCTGAATTTAATTATATAGGATTTTTTTTTGTCTGATAACCGAGCTGTACCTTGGCAGCCTTTGCCTTGAACTTTAAGATCGCAACACACATAAAAAGTCCGACAGAAATGAAATTAGAAAAGCTTTTCTTTTCATGCTAACCACAACATCAAATGCTAATAAAGCAACAGAAATCCAGATATGCATGCAGCTCAAATAGATTTTATAGTTCTCATGATACTCCCATCAAGTTAGATCAAAACTACCACATAAGCATTAAGCAATAAAAAAAGAGCAAAGACGAGATTGACCATTTCATGGTTGAAGGGTCAACCGGTGCGTGTGTTGCATTATGGTAAAGTTAACATCAACTATAAGGCTTCGTTCACATGCAATGTCTATTTTCTAAATTCTATTTTCTATTTGCGGTATGTCTTATGATCACGGTCTGTGGCCTGAATATCCCGCGGCGTAATTACTGGCAGCGCGAGCCAGTTACTATAAGTTACTATAAGTAACTGGCTCGCGCTGCCAGTAATTACGTGGCGGGATATTCAGGACACAGACCGTGATCATAAGATAGCGCAAATAGAAAATAGAAATTAGAAAATAGACATTGCATGTGAACGAAGCCTAACACTAGTAGCATATAAAAAGTAGTGTTTCTGAACTAAAATGAAAACTCATTCATCTGTGCTTTATTATCTCATACAAATGTGTAATACTTCCAGCTGTAGAAATGACAGGTGTTACGCAGAGAGGCTAGCTGCAGTCAAAATCTGTATATGCCATGTGTGCTGAAAGGGGCATTCAGGGACATTGGCATATGATCCATCCCACAAGGCCATTCTCAATAGGGGACTACTGTAACTAGTCAGTGGGTCAAATATGGCCGACCAACTTGAATACTTCCCCGCGAGATATCTATTCATTGTCTTGTAGCAGATTAGATGGCAAGCTTTGTAGTAGGTTGCCATATTTGACTTCGGACCAGTTAGTCCCCTATTCTGAATGGAGCCAAAGATTATCCAGTGTGAAATGAAGGGGAATCGTGAAATGGTCAATGAAACTTTTTTGATTCCTATAAAAAACAATGTATCTGATTGTGTTATGTAACATCAACATGAAATGTTGAAATGTGATCGTTCCGTCTGACTGTGCCTGATAAGAAAATTTACTTATATAGTTATAACCATGTGTTTACCACAGGTACACCCGTGTGCACACACATGTATAAACAAGCCAGAAAACACCCACGTCTAAACCTTTTTTTGAGGCACAACCTTTATCAATGAAAAAAACTGAGAGTGAGCAATTCAATAATAATCTTTTTTTCTTATACATGGTGGTATGAAGAACTAAAGAAAACATTTGCGGAACTACCATAAAATTTGGGATATTCTTTATGTAACAAGAGGTGATACCCTTCAAATCAACAGTTTTATTCCTCCCCATCCCTACCCACAGCCGTCTCTCACCTAGCTATCCTCTAACTCTGGTCAATTCCCCCAACTCCCCCATCCCCCAATGAAAACAGTAAGTCCATCCTCCCTCATCG